GTAGTTGTGAGCTGCCTGCTGTAGGTGCTGGGGATGGAACTTAGGTCCTCTGCAAGAACAGTATGTGCTCTTAACTGCTCAACCATCTCTCTAGCCTCATCTTCTTTTTTGGGTCTGTCACTGGAACCTGGGGCTCGCTGATTAGGTTGGACTGGTTAGCCAGTCAGCTCCACAGAGAGTGCTACCATATCTTTATTTTTACATGCGTGCTGGGGATTGAACTTGGGTCCTCATGCTGTGTAACAGGCTTGTCGATGTCTATTTTATACTTTGGGGTACATCCCAACTCTGTTTTCACTGGATTACTGCAATGTTCCAGTGCAGATCACTGGGAGCTCTCTGGGGGCTCTGGTGCTTCCCCGACTTCCTTCAGCAGCTGTGGTACTGTTCTGAGCACTTCCTCAGAAACCACAGGGCACTCCAGGGTCACCTTCCCTCCTTCCTGCCTTGTAGACCCAGCCATTTCCTTGTGTGTGCCTATTGTGTGTGTGTGTGTGTGTGTGTGTGTGTGTGTGTGTGCAAGGGTGCACATGTGTGTGGAGGTCTGAGGACAACCTTGAGTGGCGTTTCTCCTCAGGTGCTGTCTACCCTGTTTTTAGAGATGGGGACTCTCACTGAACCTGGAGCTAACTGATTAGACAAGGCTGGCTGGCCACTGAGTCCTAGGGACCCATCAATCTGCCTCCCAGCACTGGGATTACAAGTGCATGCCACCATGCCTGGCTTTTTATGTGGGTTCTGGGGATGGAGCTCAGGTCCTTATGCTTGTGTAGCAAACACTTCACCAACCAACTCTCTCCCCAAGTCCCCTTTCCTCAGATGTCCCTGTTTCCTTACTGCAGAATGTACTGGAGCCCAGATTCTGCTCTGCATGCTGTTGCTACTGAGTGTCTATTTTGGTTTTAGCTTTGTGTGTCCTGGTTTCCTTTCAGGAGCTCCCGTCTCCAGTCTCACACCGTCATCTTTTCTCCGGTGGGATTGATCACATCGGTCATTTCCCCTGAATTCTGGAAGAGCAGTGTCTGGAGTTCGTCCTCTACACTATTGATTTTGGTCTCCCTTAGCCCTGGGCCTGCTCTCTGCTGCCTCCAGTGCAGGGTCCTGTCCTGCTGTCTGACACTAATTTCTTCCTCCTTGTCTTCTGTGTCTTCCACCTTGCCCACAATGAGACAGAGGCGGTCCAGAACTTACTAACTGCCTGCTCGCTATTCTGAGTATTTTCTCCGTGTTTCCTCTGTTGGCTTTGCTGTCTAGATTTAGGACTTCATTCACCCATATGGCTTAGTGAGCCAATTAGGTTTGGTTCTAGATGATAGGCAATGAGACCAATGTGGATACAGCCAGAGTTCGCTGCTTCCAAGAACAAGCTTTTTTTTTTTGTCTTTTAGAGACAGGGTCTCCCTGTAGCCCCAGCTGTCTGGAACTCACTATGAAGACCAGGGTGGCCTTGAACTCACAGAGATCCGCCTGCCTCCACCTCCCAAGTGCTGGGATTAAAGGCATGTGCCACCACACCCGGCCTTTTAGAACAAGCATTTTAATGGGAGTGCTAAAACAAGGAAATAAAACAGACAATATGTCAGGCCGGAGAGTTGGCTCAGCAGTTAAGAGCACTGACTGCTCTTGCAGGGTTCAATTCCCAGCACCCACATGGCAGCTAACAACCTTTCGTAACTCCAGTTCCAGGGGAATCTTGACACTCTCTTCTGACCTCTGTGGGCACTGCATGACACAGGTGCGCTTACAGGCATGCAGGCAATATGTTCATACACATAAAATAAAAATAATAAAAGCTTTTAAAAAATAGGGTTGGAGAGATGGCTCAGCGGTTAAGAGCACTGACTGCTCTTGCAGAGGGCCTGGGTTCGATTCCTAGCACCCACATGGCAGCTACAAACCATCCTTAACTCCAGTTCCAGGAGAATCCAAAGCCCTCTTCTGATCTCTGAGGCATTGCATCACACAGGTGCATTCACATACATGCAGCCAATACACTCATACACATGAAATGAAAATAATAAATAAAATATTAAATAAAAAACAAAACAGTCTAATGTTATAGTGGGTTATGTTCCCCTAAAGATATGTTAAAAGCCTAACCCCATCATCTTGGAACATAGCCTGGTGTGAAAACAGGGTCATAGCAAATGTTTTTAGCTAGGATGTGGCTATGCTGGAATTGGGTTGACCTTTAACCCAGCACAAGTGTTCTAATAAGTTGGTGCGCAGGGCTGGTGATATGGTTTAGCAATTAAGAGCACTGGATGCTTTTGCAGAGGACCAGGGTTCGGTTCACCACATCCACATGGTGAGTAACAACCATCCATAACTCCAGTTCTAGGAGATCTGATACACCATCCTGGCTTCCACAGGTATTACACACATGGTGCACTTACATACATGCAGGCAAAATATTCATGCACATAAAATAAAAATAAGTAAATAATTTAAAAAAGAAATCAAGGCCGGCATGGTGGCACACACCTTTAATCCCAGTACTTGGGAGACAGAGGCAGGTGGATCTTTGTGAGTTCGAGGCCAGCCTGGTCTACATAGTGAGTTCCAGGCCAGCTGAGGTTACAAGGAGACCCTGTCTCAAAAAGATGAAAAAAAAAAAAAAAAAAAAAAAAAAAAGAAATCAGTGTGAAGAGAAAAGAGGAGAGCTATCACGTGAGGCATGGGGCAGAGCTGGAGCTCCACAGCTGCAAGCAAGGGCATTCCCAGACTGTTGACACCAGAGGCTGAGGGATAGGTGAGGAAGGGCCCCAGAGTCCTGGAAAAGGCTCAGCACTGCCCACACCTCAGCCTCTAGAACTGGGAGAGAATGACACATTGCTGGTAAGCCACCTCATCTGTGCTACTTGATGGCAACAGCCTCAGGAAACAAATACAGACGTTGATCCATGAAATGGAAATGGGTAGGAAAAAAAGAAGTGGAAACTGGAGGCTCAATGACTTTAGCGACTGCAGCAGGAAAGGCTAAGCCAAGACTGCAAGAAGGCCCAGGAAGGGGCCACACAGGTGTATGGGAGGCACCCCCAACACAGAGGGAATCATCTGCCAACAGCCAGCACATTCTGTCCCCGGCCTATCTCTGAGCTATGCAATGCCGGACTCCTTTCTCCAAACCCTGGCAGTACAGACAGCTGGACACAGTTGGGCAGGGGCACCACTGAACCTGGGGTACAATTCCAGTTCTTTGCTTCCCTTATGTGTCTTGGGGGTTTACCCAACCACTTTGATCCTCATGTCCCTATCTGTGAAATGGTTCTAAAATTCTTCTGCTGGAGGACTTTGGGAAGCCCTGAGAACATGATGGGCAAGGGTGTACAGGGCAGGCTCCGAGTCAGTGGCCAGCCCCAGGTAAGTGACCAGGCTGGGTTGGTGGCCAGCCCTGGGTCAGTGGTTAGCCCTGGGTCAGTGACCAGCTTGGGTCAGTGGCTGGAAAGGCCAGCTATTTCAGCTGCTGTTTTTGTCACTGTTCCAGTCACTTGTCTGGTTGAACTTAGTTGATGAAGAGAGCGACCTATTCCAACCCTGATCTTGGCACCTTGGCTCCGCACACAAAGCCTTTCAACTCAAAGCCTTTAGAACTCAGCTGGGCCTCAGAGGACAGAAGCTATTTCAAGTACCTGCTCTGTATGTGGTAGGACAATGCCAGCACAGCCTTCACCTCCACCACCAGCTACCAGCCTGAGTCCTCCAGGCTCCACACAGCCTGACTAAACCCTCCACCAGCACAGCCCTTGACACCATGGGGGGAGAGCTAGGCTGCCACCAGCTGATGTTCCTTATCTGCAGAGGCTCCCAGAACTGATGTGCGACCCACAGCCTGTCTAGTTTGGAGACGAAGAGCAACTGGTGTGTGGCTCCCCTGGCTCCCCAATGCTAGGCTCTAGACCCCCATCTATTAACCAAAAGGCTTGTAACTAATGGCTAAGAACTGCCACCTGATGTTTCTAGTGGAACCTTGGACCCACCCAACTGAGAAAAGATACCAGCAGTTGGCATGTGGGGTCTCTATGCCAACAGCTTTACCTGTGGCCACAAGAGAATGGAAGAGAAAGAAAAAAGTCCAGAGCTCTGACTGCCTCTGTACAAACTTCCAGCTGCTCCCCTCTGCCCTTGGGAGAACATCAAGCTTCTTGGCTCGGCATTCAAGGCTTCTGGGACCTGGATTAGAGCTCTGTTTCCAGCCTCAATATATCCCTCCCTTGATGCTATAAACTCTGGAATCCCTGCTGGCCCCACAGCAGAGCATGCCTGCTGCCCTCGGATCTAGTGCCCTCTTTCCCTGTAGCCTGGGATCCTGAGCATTCAGCTCGGCCTCAGTCCAGTGCTCTCTTCCTTGGAACCTGATCTGCTCCCTCCCCTTGTGATGTGAGGCACTTCTCCTGCCTTTTAGGTCAAGATCCCCTGTTTCCACTGAAAGGTCACCATCTTTTTTGGCCATGCCATGAGCAACCTGAGAACATGGGTGGCTCTGATGGCATCCAGGAGCCCAGGAGGAGAGGGCAGCACTTGACAGGTTGAAGAGTTTGTAGAAGTGAACAAGTAGAAAGTAGAGACTTATTTACAGTTGGGGGAACCTCTAACTGTCTCCCTCTGTCCCTAGAGTGACTATCCCTATGGGGTCAGGAGAGGGGTCCCTGTGGGGTCAGGAGAGGGGCCTCTCAGCCCCAGCAGCAATGCTTTGTAATGGGTCAGAGAGCTCTTGGGTCTCAGCCCTTCACAACAGAGATGACATCAGCAGACACCCTCTGTGCTACTCAGGTGACTGACAGGTGAAATCACCACAGAAATTCAAGATGCACTGAGCCTGGTAGTTGCTGTCAGGAACAGACAGCAAGAGGCTGGAAGCTCAGAGAGGCCAACTCCTGGTTGCTTCTCTGAGGTCTGAGATGCAGAAATGTAGAATGAACCTGAGGCCCACACTGAACTTGGGGCAGCCACAGGGAGGGTGTGTGGGGATCCCGGGCTCATCGCTGGGCCAAACCTACCTTCAGTTTTTTGACGCTGGTGCAGGGATCATTGGAGAAGCTCTCTGTATCTGAGATCTCAATGTCCTCACCATACAGAACCCCAGTCAGGTCATTCCTCACCTGTGGGAACAAAACAGAGCATGGGTGGGCTGCCACCAGGAAGGGCCCTATCAGAGGGGTTGGCAATTTTCTCTGTGACACCAAGAGCCCAAAAGGAGAGTCCCTTCCTGCAGCTGACACTGCAATGGGAGGCCAGGCAGGGTGGGGCTGCTCAGCCTGCTTGTGGACTTCCTTCGAGAGACAGGATGAGGAGAGGCTCTGGTAAGCGTGCCTGTCACTTGCTCACCCCAGCTCAGGCCATCACTTATGCTTTCGTTTCTATTTTGCATTACATCCTTGCAATATGACTTTATGTTATGGCAAAGACTCAGCCAAGACCCCCAGAGAGCAACACAGAGCAGATGCAGACTGTGGCCCCCGTGTGTGCGCCTGCAAGGCAGAGGCTGGCCAACTCCAGTGTCCTCATGCCAGCTGGTGTGGAAGGGCATCAGGGCAGCAGCTGGGACTGTACACCCTGGAGACCATATGGCCCTGTAAAGACAGCCACTGCTACTCCTTAACTGTGCTGGAAACAGACCCAGGATGCTTTTCCAGAGAGAAATCAGAATTCTAGGCTTTTACAGTATAAAATTCTCCAATTTTCCAGTGTTGATACTATGTTCTTTTTTTTTTTTTTTAAGTTAGGATCAAACAGAACCAACTTGAAGTGTATATCTGGCTGGCAGCCATGACTGTGCACCCCTCCCTGACATGCAGAAATGGACCCCACACCATGGGGCTGAGGAGAAGGAACGAGGGCCAGGGGATGGAGCTTCAGGGTCCTGTCCTGTCTCTGACTTGCTTGTGACCTCATTCCCTGGGTGTGACCTTCTCCTGTCTGAACCTTTGTGTCTTCCTCTTTAAGAGAAGGTGATTGTGCAAAGCACATCTTGCTCACCTTGTGGGATGGCCACTGTCAGATTCAGAAAGCAACACGTGCCTATGAGGGTGGGAACATATGGGACCCCCAGGGACTGCCCGTGGGAGTGTGCAGTGGAAAACAGAGTGGTGGTGCCCCAGAAAACCCAGTGTTGATTCCCATCTGCTCCAACAGTACTGTCCTGGGAATATTCCCACAAGAAACAGCAACAGGGCCTTCAGCAGATGCTGCCCACTCATTGTATTAATTACTTTCTGTTACTGTGACAAAGTGTATGACAGAAGGGAGGAAGGGTTCATGCTGGCTCTCAGTCTAAGAGGGCTCAGTCCATCATGGCAGGAAAGCCTGGAGGAGTTCATGGCAGTGCAGTGTATGGTAAGGATTCTTCACACCTCAGCAGATCAGGAAGCAGAGAGAGCTCAGGCCAGAACCAGGTGAGGTTATAACCCTGAAGACCTGACCCCTAGTGAGCCACTTCCTACAATTAGGTCCTACCTCAAGGTTCTACAACCTCTCTAAAGGGCACCATGAACTGGGAACTAAGTATTCAAGCACATGAGCCTGTTGGGGACATTTTACATTCCATCCATAGCCCCCATGTTCATATGAAATATTCACAATAAGCCAAAAAGTGCAAACAACCCAATGTCTGTTGATGGATGGCTACATAAGCACATTGTGGCACACACATTCAGTGGCATACTATTCAGCCTTTAAAAAGGTTAAGGTTTTGCTATATACTACATGGACAAAGAGGCAGACACAAAAATGACAAATACTGTACAATTTCAATTATATGAGGTACCTGGAGCAGTCAAATTCCTAGACAGAAAGTGGAGCAATGATTACCAGGGGGTGGGGGTGGGAGAGCACTAGGAGTTGATGCTTAATGGGGACAGGCAACATGACAGTTACATAACCACATACACACACGCTGCACTTCCAGATGGAGATGGGAAAATTTGATGTTATGTATATTTTTCCCCAATAAGAAAGCCCATCTTTTTCCAACAGCCAGCAGATCCTTCTAAAGCATATATCAACATGTTTTGAACAATTTGTCTCTAAATGTCACTGGCCACTGGGAAGCCACCACCAAGGAGGAGGAACAAAGGCACCAGCAGAAGCCGCCATGCTTCATTTCTGTGAGAGAGAACAGGGGGAGCAAGATGCAAAGGGCTGCAGAGTCCAACTAACAGTCCGGGTGTTTATTCCCTTGTGCGCGCTTCTGGATGCTCAAAATACTTCCTGAGAAGCTGCCACCTCCCATGAGCCTCACCCAGCTGTCTAATTGTTGTTTCTGGTGATGAACCCAGACCTTGCACACGCTAGGTAAACACACCACTGAGCTTCAGCCCCAGCTGTGGTTTTGGCCTCTGTTTTGATGAAAGATTGGGGACTAGCTGATGGCTTTTGCCACCACGGCTCAGCTCTGCATCCTGAGGCCTTTCTAGCCGTAGGTAGGTCCCATAGCTGTGTAGCCTGCCCTCCAGGTGTGGTAGACAAAACGGAATTCATGCCCAGGAACCCCTCCTGGCAGGCAGTGCAGCTCGATGCACCCACCTCAGGGCAAGCACTGACAAGGCCCAGTTCTCCATTTGTCACACACATATGGCCACCTAGCTTCCCTTGAGTCCCAGTCTTGTCACTTGAGAAATGGAGACAAAGAGTGAATAACTCACAGGCTGGATTCTAGACTCAAGGAAATGCTGTGAAATGGCTTCATAAGCTGTGAAGTTCTGTGTGCTGCTTAAAGGTGGGAAAGATGGAGGCCAGCTTGATCTACATAGTGAGTTCCAGGTCAGCTGGCGCTACAGGGAGACCCTGTCTTAAACCCCTCCCCTCCAAAAAAGTGAGAAAGAATCAAAGCCTTTAGCGGCTTGGGGTATCTGTGAGTCAGAGTGGTCATGAAAGTTGTATTATAAATATGTAGAACAAATAAAATTGCCCCTCAGAATGTCACACCCTGCTCCTGGTTAAACAAATAATCAACCGATGGAAGACTCCCAGTCCAGTGCTCTACCCACACTCCAGCCTGTCGCTTTGGATCCCCGTGGACAGTTCAGAGCTTGAACAGGCCAGGGCACATGGCCAGCACCATCAGCCATTAATTGCTCCCATCCTTTCAGCACCAAGCGTCTGCACTCAGCTTGGTATTTATTCTGATGGACTTTAAGGGAAGGCAAACGAAAGAAATGAAATTACAGGAGAGAAGCAATGTGAGGGCCCTCCGCAAAGGGAGGACCCCTCAGTGGGCCAGTGGAAGATTGCTTAGTGAACTTGCAAACTCTTGGTCAACAGCCAGTGTCCCAGAGCTGCTTGTGTAGACTACATTTCTCAAAGTGGATCCTACACTTCCACTCACTTCCATCTAACAATAGCAAAGACATGATCCTCTCAGAAAGGAGGAAACGGAAATAGGTATGGCTTGATGTGTGACATGTGTCACAGGGTGACATCCAGGCACATCATTTCAAGTTTGAAATTGTGTAAGTGAAAAATGTACAGAATCTCAGAAGCTCAGGAAGCTGGAGGCTCTGTATGACCGCAACCCTGGGATCACATAGCTGCTGCCTGCGGCATCATGAGAGAGTATCCTTACTGAACATCATTAGAAAAAATCAAAGTCCAAAGTTCACTAGAAAAGATCAAAACCCAAAGTTCCAAAGATTCTACCCAATGGGAATCAAGTTTGTACGATGGTAAAGCCGAAAACTCCCACCAGCATGTCCAGTTTTTTAAAATTCGATACAACATTGTTACCCAGGAAGCACAGACGGGAAAACATTGCAATCAAGTTATGAAAACAAACCACAAAAAAACTCTCATGAAATTTAAAGTAAGCTTGCAATTGTGTGTTGGGCAGTATGGGTCAATGTGGACATCTCCCAATAATCTCACTACCCAGCTCACATTGCTTGGAGTCCTCTGAAGGTATGCTCTGCCAAGCTCCTTCCCCCCTCCCCAATTCTGCTTCCTGAAGGAGGAGCCAATGAGCTCCCTTTCTGTCCTTACTGTCCCTCCATAGCCTTGGATGCCTGACCTCTGTCAAGGCAAGGAAATAACCAAGGTCAGGAGCCCAGTATGAAGTCTCAGTGGCTGGGAAGGGCATACAGGGGTGATGCCCATCATCCAGGTGAGAGATTCCAAAGGTTAGATTAGGGGAGAATGTCCAAAAGCCACAACTTAGAGATGCACTCAGGGTAGCCAAGAATGTTTCTGCCTTCTATTGCTGTGTAATGATTTATCCCAGAATTCAGTAACTTTCAAACAATAAATACAGGTTGTCTCCCCCAGTTTCCAGGGGTGGAGAACAGGGAATCAACTGAGCTGGCAGCTCTGGCTTAGTCCCTTCCATGGGGCTGTAGACAAGATGAAGTTGGGCTGTCACTTGGAAGAATTCTGGGCTGAGTCCCAGCAGCACCCAGGATGTCAGGTTACCTCCCAGTCAGTGGGGTGCAGGTGAGTCTAGTCAGCTTCTCAGTGTGCCACACTCTTAGTTTAGGGGGAAGGGTTCTCAGCTGGGAGATGAAGGCAGAGTTCTCCCCTCTCCTGGTCCTCCCTCCCCTGCCTTCCCCTGCCTTCTCGGGTCCTATCTCATAGCTGCATCTTGTCTTGAATGTCCAGTCTTTCTTCTCTTGACTTTTAGTACCAGGAGTGGGTCCTGATTGTCTCAGAAGGGTGAATGGAGATGAGAAAAGTGGGGAGCAGGACACGTGAGAGACCATCAAAAGGAGTGAGAGAACACAGTAAGACAGTAACAAGTGACCACATTCAAAACCTGTCTCAAGAAAAGCAGGTTCCAAAGAGCCAGGGACACAGCAGTACTAGGGACCAGCAGACACCTGGCTTCTATGGCCAGTAGTTCCCTGGACAATGTCCCCAAGCAGGCCACTGCACCAGCTGAGAAATCATCCAGAAAGACAGAGATCCAGGTGAAGACGGGAATAGAGCCACCTGCACTTACAACTTTGAACATTCTAATTAGGTTAGAAATGAACTCAGAGCTCTCCTAAGAAGGCATCTAGGTAACCTACTTTGTCATTCAAATGCACCCACTATATATAGCAATGGATTGTGCTGAAATGTCACTCCTCTTACCTGACTAAAGCATATAATTATAGATTTACTTCTATTCATT